TCTCTTGGGTCAGTCCAGCTGGGTCAGTCCAGCTGCCTCGTTTGGCATGTCTCATTCTGCAACTGAAGTGCCCAACTCTCTTACACAGACACCCATGTTTAAATGAGACAAGGTTTCAGAATTTCCTCTTAAAGTGAAAGGTGATGGTAGAAACTACTTCAATTATTAGTAAGACATATCTGAGAGCCACACAATCCCTGGTTCCTCTTGGGAGGACAGATGTCCCACACCACTCATGACTGAACAGCTGTTCAGGGTTGATCTCCATCCAAAGTACAAATTTGCTTTTCAGTCTTAGGTCCCACAGTCCATCTGGAATCAACCAGTCCTATTTTCTCCATCCCCAGTTTTTGCTTTTAAGCTGAAATGGCTCAATTTAAATTCATTCTCCTTACCTTACTGTTTTTCTACTTCACAATAAACACTTCTCCAAGCCAACTTTCCCAACTCCTGCTGCCAGCCCCACTCTAATAGTACAGTGTTTATTAATCAGAGAACTTCAGACACTGAATTCAAAGGATGACCCCAAGGAAGTTGAAACTCATACCGTATAAACATGTTTACAGGGGGGCAGGCCTTTAGTTCTGGGCTACTCTCTATTAAAGTACTCGGAGGAGTTAAATATACTACACTGTCTCCTCTGGTAAACGGGACAGAGGAGCAGAAACTACAAACGTTTCTGGATCAGGGAAATTAATCTCTATTCCTATCTTGCAGAAGATGTAACAGCACTGGGTAGCCCAACTGTATAGCAGCTCCAGCCTCCCTTTTTTCTCTAAATTATAGGCCTCTGGCACCACCCAGTGGCCCATTTGTACAGAGACATGCTAGTAATGCAACAATGTACAAGGCAATACAGGATCTACAAATATAAATAAGGCAGTCATAATACCTTTTGTAGCCAATAAGCAATTAGGAAAACAGGTATACAACTATGAGACAAGAGACACAAGTGTCAGTACCATCTTAAAAAAAAAAAGGAATCTCCTAGCAGTCCAGTGGTTAGGACTCAGCTTTTTCACTCCCATGGCCCGGGTTCAATCCCTAGTCAGGGAGCTAAGATACTGCAAGCCGAGTGGCATAGCCAAAAAAGGAAAAAAAAAAAAAGAAAATATAAACAGAATGTTGTTGTAGTTCAACAGAGTAAAGGATTATGTTTAGTCAGGGAGAAAGGAAAAGCTTCTATGGAGAAATTAGCTTTTAAACTGGACTTTGAAGGAAGGAGAGGATTTCAATGGGTAGAACTGAGAAAGCTATCGCATCAGGACCACCATGAGAAAAGACATGGAAGATGAAAAACCTGATTATGTTCAACAAAATACATGGGTAGTCTGGCTTGGCTAGATGCTGGGGTACAGTTCATTAGTTAAGAAGTACAGTAGAAGGGGTGTGTGTGTGTGTGAAGTATAGTAGAAGGGGTGTGTGTGTGTGTGTGTGTGTGTGTGCAGGAAGATTTTGTTAAGGATAATAAGATGGACTGAAATGTACAGTTGCCAAAGTTAAGAAGCAATGAGATCCTGTCTTAGGCTGATGGCAGAGGAAATTAAAAGAATGGGGTCAACGTGTGAAACACTGTAGAGGCAGAATTGACAGAATTTGGCTCAATAAGCAGTAACAAAGCTCAAAAAATAAAAAAGACAAGTTTGAGTCTGGGTGCACAGAGGAAATCTAGTGCCATAAACGAGAGACTGGCATGTGGGGGAAGAGAGGAATTTGATTTTGATTACGTTTAAAATCCAAGTTGACGTCAGTAAAGTAAGTGGAAAATCAATGTATGTCTGAAATCTGAGAAATAAATTAGGGCCAGAGATACAGGCTTGAGAATTATTTGTACAGATAAGCTTCAAAATCAAATCCCTTGTAAATTATACCTCACTAAAAAGCAAAAATAAATTAAGGACTCAAGAAAGGAAAAAAATCTTGGGGAATACCTATCCTTCAAAAAAAGAAAGAGGGAGAGAAATGCTCAGGGAAGTTGAAAGAGTAACAGTTTTAAATGACTTGGAAGTCAAGAGAGGAAAAGGTTTCAAGAAAGTGGGGATGGTTCTTGTTTCAAATGCTACAGAGTACAGAAAGGTGCAAACTGAGAAAAGGCTGTAAGACTCAGAACTGCTTTTCCATGGAATTACCTCAGGAATGGATGCTGGTTTTCTCCCTATTCAAGTATCATAAAATAAAAGGATTCAGCTATCTCTTCAGTTAAGTCCATTAAAATTATTTCCATAAAAAACTTATTAGGCTACCAATTAATCATAACCTGAGACCCATGTTTAAACAATTCAAAAATGTGTTCATTCATATTGTCATTTGGACAGACCTTTTATACTTTAAATACACTTTTATAAGAAGTACTGATGGACTTCCCTGGTGGCACAGTGGTTAAGAATCCGCCTGCCAATGCAGGGAACACGGGTTTGAGCTCCGGTCCGGGAAGATCCCACATGCCGCAACTAAGCCCGTGCGCCACAACTACTGAGCCCGTATGCCACAACTACTGAAGCCTGCGTGCCTAAAGCCCAAGCTCTGCAACAAGAGAAGCCACTGCAATGAGAAGCCTGTGCACCGCAACGAAGAGTAGCCCCCGCTCGCCGCAACTAGAGAAAGCCCATGCGCAGCAACGAACACCCAACACAGCCAAAAATAAACAATAAATTAATTAAAATAAAAGTACTGATCTACCTTTCAGCTCAATTTGCTTCATCACTTGGCACTGAAGAGCCCTGGTTTTTTTTTTTTTTTTTTGGCGGTACGCGATCCTCTCACTGTTGTGGCCTCTCCCGTTGCGGAGCACAGGCTCTGGACACGCAGGCTCAGCGGCCATGGCTCATGGGCCCAGCCGCTCCGCGGCATGTGGGATCCTCCCAGACCGGGGCACGAACCCGTGTCCCCTGCATCGGCAGGCGGACTCTCAACCACTGCGCCACCAGGGAAGCCCTAGCCCTGGTTTTTAAAGACAGCATATGGTATAAGGGAAAGAAAAGAGGTTTGGTGTCCGTCAGACCTCAGTTTGAATTCTACTTCAACCATCTACCCTTGAGTTTGTTTCTTCTTTTGTAAAATGGGACAATATCATTACCCTGAAGGAGCTGGTTTAGAGGATTAAACACAACATTTGCAACTGGCTGTCTGTACCTGGTAGGCATCTATATTATTTTTCTAGCTTCTCATCTCTGATTTCAGACTGCATTTCCTAGAGAAGCCTGGGCTTCTTCACCACTCAACAATGATCCTCCAAACGTTGTACACAAATCAACACACAGCTCCAAGTCTATAAAATCTGCTTACCTACTCTCACTGGCCTTTTAAAGAATTCAGAGAACTCCGTTAATACCTTCTTTTGAGCACATTCATGTTCTATGAACTGGGGTAAAGCAATATACACAGGAGCCCACAGCATAAGTCTCTTTAAGTCTTCTCCCTTTCTAAGGTTCAGAAGATAGCCAAGATGAGAACTTCAAAGCAATCATCACAAATGATGATGAGGAAGGTAAGAATTTCTACATCAACTATACTACAAACAAGGAGCTCTGTTCCTCCATTGGATGAATGCCTTCTCTCCCTGTCGGTAACACCAAATGCCCTGTGTTTATAGTTTATTGGCTTTAATTCTACTAACAGTATTTCAGAGTATGTTAGGAATGCACTAAGTGCTATCTCTAGCAACAGAGCTAAGGAATGTTTTATAATAACATTTAAGCACATTCATCTCAATTTAAATCATTTTAAGGAAAACCCACTTCTTAGGAAATTTCATTGTGTTTCCACTATGAAATGATTTATATCTACATCAGAATCCAGTCCCCATTACCAGTTTTTGCCATTCACATTTCAAATTTTTCTTAAATTGTCTGAAAGGACACTACAGAGATGAAAGGGTACACTTATGATAAAACAATAAAGAAAGAGAGGCTAAAAACATCAAGAAGTGCCCTCCTATCTGCACGAGACTAGAGAACAGAGTATAATGTGGGTCCTAAGTAAGGTTAAAAACATACCTGATAATGTGGCACTGCTTAAAGTGCACCAGAGGAATATAGCCTCTTGGCTACCACTAGAGGTAAATCCTATAATAGCTTTCAAGATGGCTAACAAAAAAACAAAAAAAAAAAGATGTGAGGCAAGCATGGATGCTTCACATTAGAACTTGCCCAGACCTCCTTAAATAGTATCCTCAGAGGATAAGAGCAAATATCTAACCTCTCAGATACAATGAAGAAAATTTTTGCAATAACCCAATCCATTTAGACACACTACGATTCATTAATAAGATGCCATCTTTGTCAAATTAATCATTCACCATGCCCTGTTTGCAAACTCAGGGCAGCCTTAATTCATTAGTTTATCTTTGGCATACACATTCCTTGGGTTAAGGCAGTACTTGAGAAACTGGGCTTCTGGCCCAGAAACTACGTCCTGTAGAGGTAGAGATAAAGACTGCTATAAAGAAATGACCAATTCATAAAATGTATCACACTCTAATTTTTAAAGACCTTTCAAGGACTTTCTTCTTACTCCAAGAATAACTGAATCAGTAAACAAGAACAGGTAGCCCCTTTTTCTGACCAATTTTAACAGTGATGAAGTTTCTTGGATATACTCACAAAAATGAAAGATGAAAAGCTTTCAATATTACTGTAAAGCTAATCTAAAATCACCAGCATTTGGCTCTGAAACTAAGATATACATAGTCACTACTTCCATGACTGTTGCTGATTCAATTCTTTCAGTTGCCTGGGTTCCAAATGGCTGAGGGTAAATAACAGATTACCTTGGCTCACTGATAATCTGCTTTAAAACAAAAAAACTAATTCAATCTTAAAAACTAACACCAATGTGATGCAATAAAAAGCTGTTTGGATAACTCTGTCTTTTATAATCTGGACACTTCCTAGACATGTTTAGAATAACTTTTCTACAGTAGAAATAATCCAGAAATAAATCTATCTACTGAAAACAAAGGTCAACCCGTCACTTCATGATTTTTAAAGCCTGTAACTCACCTGATAGAATACAGGACCTAGACCATGAAACTCTGAAGATCTCAGTCTCTCACAACAGGGCATACTTCTATAGAACGTCTTCTATTGGAGTCCGTTTGCTTTTGAAATGCCAGTATTGTTTTAAACTGGCAACAAAAAGACATTTCTTTTAGCTTTCTCTGAAGACAAGCTTCTGTCTTAGGTTGATCCTAGTCAAAACTAAGGATCATAGCACTGAGGCTGATTCTTATACATTTAATAGGCTGCTGAATAAAATGCCCTGTCAGGTTGGTGGTGGGAACTAAGGTCATAAGCATACCTAGCCTCCCACTGCAGCCACGGTAGGAAATACTTCTTAGTAAGGTGCAACAATTCTTATGCAACACCCTGAAATATAAAATATCTTCAGAAATATAAGAATTTTACAGTTATGGTCTAAAGACTAAAAATATTGATTCACTGTATACACAGGTGTCACCTGGAGCATAAAATGTGAAGCCCTTCTTGGGAGTGGTGATGGTGGGAGTGGGTTCTTACCCAGCACATACAGTAATAAGGAACAGTCAAAATTATGCCTCTTTCAACATACTGCCTTTTCTCCTCCCACACCCACTCTCGCCCTGCTGAACACAGAACTCTAGACCTCATAAATAACACAAACAATAAAATGCACCTCACTACCCTCCACCCCAAGAGTCTTTACCTTTGAACAGAGAGAATTTAGACCCTAGATGGTGGTAATGAAAGTTGGTCAACTCTAAGTTGATCACTGGCCTAAATGAACACAGCTGCTTTCATAGCAATGTTATTATCAACAACTTTCTTAATTTTCATGTGCCCTTACCTCCCTCAAAAAGATGTGAAAGAAAAGCCAACAAGAGGTTAAAAACTTTTTATCTGTGCTGTCATATCATTAAGATGGTCCAGCGGGGGAGATGAAATAAAAAACTCTGCATTCCTAACTCCCTAGCCCAGATTTATTTCAGAAAGAAAGGAGACCTTTTCATGGTCTAGTTCTTTGATTAGCTATTGATGAGGACCACTGCAGAGCCCAACAGCTTGGAAAAAAAATGTATTCCTTCTATGGCAAAAAGGAAAAGGCATAAGAGGTAGCTGGAGCTGAGGTGGTGAACAACACTGAAGCTGGAAGGAAAGGAATTACAATACTTAGGCCAACTCTGATTAGGTGAGCTAAAAGAGAGACCAAGAGGCAGGAGCAAAGAACAAAGGAAACTTATTGATGTTTAATTTAAGAATGCATTTAGAAATATACATACATCAACATCTAATATTCCTGTCCTCTGGTCTTGAACTCCCACCAGACTAAACTGAATCACGTTCAGAAGACAACCCTAGGTGGGCACCTACAAAGAACACATCTAAGCTGACCAATTAAAAATGAATCTGAAGGGCTTCCCTGGTGGCGCAGTGGTTAAGAAGATCCCTGGTCCGGGAAGATCCCAAATCCCGCGGAGCAGCTAAGCCCGTGCGCCACAACTACTGAGCCTGTGCACTAGAGCCCGCGTGCCACAACTACTGAAGCCAGCGCACCTAGAGCCCATGCTCCGCAACAAGAGAAGCCACTGCAATGAGAAGCCCATGCACCACAACGAAGAGTAGCCCCCACTCGCCACAACTAAAGAAAGCCCACACACAGCGACAAAGACCCAACGCAGCCAAAAATAAAAATCAATTAATTTTAAAAAAATGAATCTGAAAAATTAACCAGAAAAACGTGTTCAAAAGCAAAATGCAAAGAAGTGTAAACTAACGTATAACTTATTCAAAGCTATATCAATGATGTGCAAAGAAAAGAGAAAGTATTTTTTTTAGTGTCCACCTTGGGCTAGGCATAATTTAAGACCTTTATATAATATTCCTCATATAATACTGACAATGACACTAGGACATAAACAGTATTATCCCACTTTTACAGATGTGGAAATTAAGACTCAGAAAAGTTTAAGTAACTTGCCCAAGGTCACATGGCTAATAAATCTTAGTACAGTATTTAAACCCAAACCTACCCAGTTCTAAAGACTGTATTTTCCCCTTTTTATCTTATTGATACACACACATACTGCCAATAATAATCTTATTCTAGTTCATAATGAGCAATTTCTAATCAGAACACTGTGTGGAATAAAACTCACCAATGTCACACTCAAACTCTTCCTACTACAAATCATAAAGATATTAAGAATCAGCCAGGCCTACCTTCCAGAGCCACTCAGCTCTCCCGTCACAGCCTATGAAACTCAACCACAGCACTATTCTCTGCTACCAGAAATCCAACACCCTTACAAAAATTACGTTTACAAGTATGTCCTAACTCCCTCTGTGGCACTGGCCCATGCTGCTGAATGCACAGGATGATTCCTCTGCTAACCAAGAATTCTTCAGACCAGATATAAAAGAGCACCACTACTTCTTTTTTTTTACCCAAAATTTATCACTGTGTCCTGAAAAGTTGGAATTCTGAGGTGGATTGGACACAGTCACCAACTAAAGGCAGCACCACTCATCACTCACTAGTTTTTAGTTAAAAGCAGCTAAATATTCTCCATAGCAAGAAATGACAATCTAAAGTCCTGAGAGGCAAAGAGACTTGATTTGACAAAAAGCTAAACAGAACTCAGGCAAACTAGTTCCCAGCTTTTAACAGTGTAAGAAACACGATCCGCACAAAGGCAAAACACAAGGCAAATGAATAAAGAAAGAGGGAGATACATTCACTTCTAGGCTTAACTGTAGTCATGTGAAGATATACAGCAATAGTTTAGGACAGAAAGTCAAGAGGCGCAGAGCCAATTAAACTTGTAAAAGTAATTTAACCAGAGCTGGAACAAAGCCAAGAACAATACCCGACTCTTTGGGAAACTGTGGTAGGAATTTTATGACTAGTGGTCAGTACTTGAGCACCAGGGTAGGGTCTGTCTTGCACTCAGGAATTTAAATGCCTTCAACTCCTACTCACCTTTCCTCCTTTATCACTGAAGTAGGGCCAGGCTGAGCTCCTGAGAAAATAGGTCTGTAGATTCACTGAAGGACTGAGAAAAGTTAAAGTTTAAATGGCAAAAGTGTCTCTTCTACTAAACATAATAAAAAATATGTATGAATACGTGTTAGTATTTTTTAGACCTCCTCAGAACTATTCAGAACCACCGTAATTTATCTAATTCTGACTACTGAACAAATAACTTACAGTTACAGAAATTAAAGGAACCAGGCAAGTAATCTCCCAGCTCCACTAAAACGTATAAGTCATTTAAAAGGAAAACCTGAATCTTTTCAACGCTAACCCCTAACCAAACCTCTCAACAAGAAGCCACAGAGGAGGGGGGAAATCCCGGAGAGAACGTGATAGCGCTAATGCCGGTTTGTTTACAGAGACTCCAGCAACAATCATATGAGTCAGAAACTCAAGCCACCAGATGCTTTCCAACTAACAGGGACCAAATGGGACCGTTCTACGGTGTCCTGAAAGATTTAGGGGTGAGGGGAAGCAGGCTACGAGAATTACATTACAAAAGGTACAGGAACAGACAGCAACAACTGACTGCGGGATAATCTTGGACCTCCGCCTTCCGTACAAGGTGCTGGGCCCGAGAACTCGGGATGGGGGAGGGGGCACACTGCGCGGTGGTCCTGAGGTGACGGGGAAACGCAGGGGAAGCCGCGTCCCCCCATCTAAAGGGGAGAAAAGCGCACACAAATGAGTCACCCGACGAGGCAAGACGTCCCTGTAGATTGCGGGGCAGGCTCCTGAGGTCAACCCTGGGGCTGACCTGAGGGAAAGGCAGCCAATCCTCCCGGCGGTGACTCAGGTCAGGGGAAGAAGCCCTGAGCCCTGGGAGCTTGGGAAAGGAGTCAAACCTATCTTGAAGAAGAGTGGGCCAGGGGAGAGGGGAGCAGGCCAAGCCGGAACGAGACACGGACCGGGTAGGTCAAGGGGGGGGTGTCCGGCTGGGGCAGTTACAAGCACGGGAGCCGGCGAGGCTCAGCAGCCTGCTTCCTGTCTTGGGTCATCCTTCTGCCAGAGGCTGCTCCGACTCTTCCACGCCCAGCCGCCCCGTCCACTGCCGCCGCCACCACCGCCGCCGCCATCTTACACTGGCCAGCGGCCGCCACCACCACCGCCTCCGCTCTCTGCGCTTGCGCCTGCGCCGCCACGCTTTCCGGCCCCGTTTGCGACGATGTGCTGGAGAAGACTGGGGGAAGAGCGGTCGCGCGAGCTCTCCGCTCCCAACCCTCCTCGAAGGACGCACAGGGGGCGGGGCTTAAGACCAATGGAAAACGGAGCGAGGGGCGCGTGCGCAATACTGAAGAGGCAAAGAAGTTGTTTTCGCAGTGTTTCGGGCGGCTGACTTTGATGCTGAAAAGAAATACGAATTAGACGTCTCCCGGAATTGTGGTGGAAATCAGCTTTATTTCTAACAGGCTGGCAGGCAACCTCCTGGGCGACCTCCATTTTTGCCCTGTTTTTTTATACTGAGAACAAGCAGTTCTCTCCAGAAGATTTCTTCTGAAAACCCCATTTCCTTTGAGGTTGACCTTGTTAAGTGGTTTCTATACCCACGAGAACCATTTACCCCCGAGACCTCCATTTTCCTTTTTTTTTTTTTTTTTTGCGGTACGCGGGCCTCGCTGTTGTGGCCTCTCCCGTTGCGGAGCACAGTCTCCGGACGCGCAGGCTCAGCGGCCATGGCTCACGGGCCCAGCGGCATGTGGGATCTTCCCGGACCGGGGCCCGAACCCGAGTTCCCTGCATCGGCAGGGAGATTCTCAACCACTGCGCCACCAGAGAAGCCCATTTTCCCATTTTTTAATAAGGGATTCAGAAGCCTGAGGTGTAGCTAAGCTGTTCAGGAGGTTCTTTCCTCTGAAGGGGGGTAGTGTGTTGAAGTTGCCCAAGAATTGGACGGGGTATGTACACTCTGCCTCGTTCTGACACCTGAAGGAAGAGTGCAGAAGGCCCCTGAAAAGGTTACTCCCAGCTGCCAGGCCAGGGGGTTTCTAACCAGTAGGCCAGGGTGAAAGGCTCCTTGTCACCTCTTCTACCGCTACCATCCTATTATAAGTCATTATATATTACCTAGACTATTGCAATAGACACCTAGCTGGTTTGTGTACTTCCATTATTGCCCTGCTAGTTAAATAAAGGCAGCCAGAGTGACCTTTTAAAATGTAAGCCAGGTCATATTATTGCCCGCTCAAAACCTCCAAAAGCTTCCCATCACACAGTAAAAATCAAAATGATCAAAAGGGCCTCCAAGGAAGGCCCTACATGATGTGGCACCTATTTCTCTGATTTCATTTTCTCCCATACTACCTAGCTCTGCTCTAGCCCTTTTGGCCTTCTTGTCACTCCAACCAAAGCATGGACAGCCCCAGGGCTTTTGCACTTGTTCCCTCTTCTTAAAATGTTCATCTACCATATCTTTACTAGACTTGTTCTGTCCACTTAATCAGATATCTACCCAAATGCTACTTCCTCAGAGACACAGCTCTTAACTATTCCAACTAAAATTGTACACTACCATCTTCCTCTGTTCTCTCACTCTGCATTTTTTCATACCATTTTTTACCTATAACACTTAACCTATAATATATTTGTAATCTGACAATACTATTAGAATATAAGCTCTATAAGGGCAGGGGCTATGTCTTTTTTCATCTTTTTAACCCCAGCACCTAGGAGGGCTAGGACACAAACTATCTATTGCCCTACCATTCTATTCATTCTTTCATTTACTCCATCAACAACTATTGGATTCCTGCTACGTGTAAGGCCCTCTTCTAGGTACTCAGGCTGCAGCAGTGAACAAAACAAACCAAGACTCCTGCATTCATGGAACTTATTTATTTGCACAAGGGTTGAGAGTGTAGGGGGAGGAGAGGGGCACACAGACAATATTAAATTACGAAGAGTACTGTAAAGGAAAATAAAGCAGGGTAAAAGTGGGTAACCTGAGTAGGTGTGCTCTTTTACATACGGGGTTCAGGGAAGGCCCCTCTGCTGAGGTGACATTTAAATAGAGATTTGAAGTGAGAGAATAAGTCATACACACTAGGGAAAGAATCTTCCAGGTAGAGGAAAACAGTAAGGTAAAAAGACTTGAAGCTTGAGTGTATGGTGTATTCAAAGAACAGCAAGAAAGCTAATGTGGCAAAAGAGCAGGTAGGAAATTAGTTTGGAGAAACACAATGGGAGCCAGATCACTTACGGAGTTATAGGCCGAGAAGGGGACTTTGGATTTTATCCTAAGAGTACTAGAAAGCCATGGAGGGTTTTGAGTAAGAGTGACATGATCTGATTTATAAATGAAGAGATTCATTCTGGTTGATTCTTTGAGAACTACCGGCAGGGAGGCAAAATAGAAGCTGAAAGACCAGTTAGGAAGCTATTGCAGAAGACCTGCAAGACTACTGCTGCAGTTGAAGTGGTAGGAAGTGGTTGGATTCAGGATGTACTTTGAAGGTGGCAGAGGTGATTTGCTAATAGATTGAATATGGGGTACAAGAGAAAGAGTCGAGATATCTCAGGTTTTTTGACTTAAGCAACAGGACAAATAGTAATGCCATTTACTGACATAGAGCTCAGGGTGGGGGTGGGGGTTCAGAAAGAGAGTTTTTTTGGGAAAATGTCCAGTTCTATCTTAAACTGGTTAAACTGGAGATGCCTATTAGATTTCCAAATGGAGCTACTGAGTAAACAATTGAAATGTGAATCTGAAGCTCATAGGAAAAGAGACAATTGGTGGTATAAATTGGGGAGCTATTAAGGTATAAATGGCATAGATAAGCACTAGATGGGGAACATTCACTTAGTTAATGTGGAAGAAAAGAGAAGCAGTCTATAGACTAAGCCCTCTAATCCTGAGGCACTCCAACTAGTAGGGGTCAGACAGAAAACCCAGCAAAATTTATTTAAAAGGAGCAGCAAGGAAATAGAATTTAAAAACCAAGAGAACAAGGGATCTTAGAAAACAAAATTTTTAAATGTTTCAAGAAGGGCACTATAAACTGTCATTCCTGTTTGAGAATTTGAGGCTAAGATGACTGAAAATCGACCACTGGATTTGGAAACATGGAGATTATTTAAGACCTTGACAAGAGGGACTAAAGTGGAGCTATGGAGATAAAAGACTCCCCCTCTGTGGTGTGCTTTCTGCGCTCACTGCTTTGATAGGCACCATTGCTATTACCATTAAATCAATTGCTATTACCAACTCTTCTTTTTCTTATTTTGGGCGTTCCTATTGCGTTTGAGGTTGTGATAATCATTACCCCTTCTAGATATTCAATCCCACTGATTTCTGTGACACTACATTCCATACTTCTATTTATATCTCTCTGACCATTTATTTCATGAGATTCTCTTCCTCTTCATTCTACATTTTTTTCGAAAGTGATCTTATCCATTCTTACAGTCCAAACTACTATCCACATAATGATGACTCCTACGCCTTTATTTCCAAATCAGGATTCTCCTTCAAGCTTTAGACTGGCATACCTGATAGCCAATGGCACTTTTTAAAAAACAGCTTTGGGGGACTTCCCTGGTGGCGCAGTGGTTAAGAATCCGCCTGCCGGGCTTCCCTGGTGGCGCAGTGGTTGAGAGTCCACCTGCCGATCCAGGGAACACGGGTTCGTGCCCCGGTCCGGGAAGATCCCACATGCCGTGGAGCGGCTGGGCCCGTGAGCCATGGCCGCTGAGCCTGCGCGTCCGGAGCCTGTGCTCCGCAACGGGAGAGGCCACAACAGTGAGAGGCCCGCATACCGCAAAAAAAAAAAAAAAAAAAAAAAGAATCCGCCTGCCAATGCAGGGGACGCGGGTTTGATCCCTGGCCCAGGAAGATCCCACATGCTGCGGAGCAACTAAGCCCATGCGCCACAACTACCGAGCCTGCGCTCTAGAGCCCGCGAGCCACAACTACTGAGCCTGCGTGCCACAACTACTGAAGCCCGCACGCCTAGAGCCTGTACTCTGCAACAAGAGAAGCCACCGCAATATGCAATGAGAAACGTGCACCGCAAGGAAGAGTAGCCCCCACTCACCACAACTAGAGAAAGCCAGTGCGCAGCAACGAAGACCCAACGCAGCCGAAAATAAATAAAATAATAAATAAAAAACAGCTTTGTTGAGATGAAATTCACATACCATACAATTCATCCATTTAAAGTGTACAATTGAATGGCTTTTGGTACATTCACAGATATGTGCAACCATCACCACAGTCAATTTTCAATCATTTTCATCTCCTCAAAAAGAAACCCAGTCCCCTTTAGGTATCACCCCCCCCATTTTCCCATCCCCCACCAGCCCTAAGAAACTAGTAATCTACTTTGTCTCTATGGATCTCCTTATTCTGGACTTTCATATGAATGGAATCATATAGTATGTGGCCTTTTGTGATGGGCTTATTTCACTTAGCATGCTTTCGAAGTTCATCCATTTTGCAGCATGTATCAGTACTTCATTCTTTTTCAGAGCCAAATATTATTCCATTGTATGTGTTCATCCGTTTATCTGTTGATGGACCTTAGGGTTGTTTCTGCCTTTCGGCTATTATGAAAAATGCTGCTGTAAACGTTTATGTATAAGTTTCTGTGTGGACATAAGTTTCATTTCATTTCTCCTGGGTATATACTTAGGAATGAAATTGCTGGGTCATATGGTTAACTCTATGTTTAATCACTTGAGGAACTGACAGACTGCTTTTCAAAGCAGTTTTACCATTTTACATTCACACCAGCAGTGTATAAAGGTTCCAGTTTCTCCCCGTCTTTGCCAATGTTTTTTAAGTTTTTGACTCTAGACATCCTAATGGGTGTGAAGCGGTATCTCACTGTGGTTTTGATTTG